ATTGCAAAGAACAACTTCCACTGACAGACTATGGGGATTGCATTTCCAATCCAGGACATGTGTTTATTAAATGTTTGATGAATGACACAGATCTGGAACCAACCTTTATTACTTCCCAGAAGGGCAAATTACTGAACTTCACTATAAGTCAGAGTAAGGACTTGTGTGTCCCAGGACTTCTGTGAGGATTTAATTATAACTTTTGTATAGTGCCTAAACTAGTACCTGGCACCAAAAAGCCACTCAACACATTAGTTTCAGCTCTTCTTCCCAAGCACAATTTTTTTGTCTCCTCATGTGGTTATTCAACAAGCATTTCTTCAACACTTCCTCTGTGCCAGGCTCTGTACTGGGTGTTAGAGATGAAATAACTAAGGCTGGTAGGTACCCGCCTTCATGGTCTAGCAGGATATATTTTATATATCACATATATTTTATGAATAATTGTACTTAATAAATATAAGTTCAATTGTGATGACTGTTGACCAGTACAATAGATTCCTGTAAGGGATGTTGACATGAGTAGATTTATAAAGCTTTTACACTATTATAAAAATGTTCAAAGAATCTGTTGTTAGAAGTCTAATATTCTGACTTTTCTGAATATAAAAAAATTAACTCAAAGTAAAAATCTAAAACATAGGACAAATCTATTCATATAGAAAAGGGAAGATGCTGGCCAATAAATACTGTTGTGAAATATTGTTGTGTTAATTAAAAAAAAAAAAAGACCAAGTGGCTATTCTGCTAGGGTCAGGACACATGGGAGGACTAGGCTCAACATCATGATTCCTTAGAGAACAGTTCTCAAGCTTACCCTTATAAGAGGCATTTGGCCAAAGGATGAGAATGAAAAAAGCAGTACCTGGCTCATGGGGAGCTGTCTGTTAATGTCAGCCCAGCCTGCAGGTTCTCTCCTTGAACAAGAACTTAATCTCACAGAGCACAGATATCTGTCCATGATTTGAAATGAGATAAACAGAAAAAAGACCTCATCTAAATTCAGACAAGAACAGTCACAGTGCAAAGCACAGCACACCAAATACCCATTCTCAGACCTAATGGGAGGGGCTGCTGCTTCACGACAATTACAGCTGTCACTTCCCTTCTTCTTTTTTTTGAGACAGAGTCTCGCTATGTAGTTCAGGCTGGCCTTAAACTCACTTTGTAGCCCAGGCTGGCCTCAAACTCTTGGCAGTCCTCCTGCCTCAATCTCCCGAGTGCTGGAATTATGGTGTACACAACACCTGGCACTTTGCTTCATTTTTCTGACCACCCAAATACAATCCATTAAGAACCCAGTCATAAAATTACCCCACTTCCTGAGAAAATGCAAAATGGGTACAAATTTTCTCTTCCTTGAATCCTACCCAAGTCACCTAAAATTAGGCCAATACCTCTGATTTGCCCTGGTGGGTATGCTAATTTCAAAAAACAATAAACCCAACTTTGAATTCCCGTGTGCTCCTGGGGATCTTTGGTTGAGTGGTATCGCCCATGGAATAATACATTCATTATCTTACTTAATCCTTGCATCTTTTCGGAACAGATGCTATTAACAAATCAAATTTACCAATGAGGAAATAAAGGCACAGAGCTGTTAAGTAACATTTTCAAGATTACACAGCCAGAAGATGGCAGAACAGGAATTAAATTTCAGGTCTGACCCCCGAAAAGATTCCCTGGGAATGCCCCAGGCAATTACGCAGAATTGTTAGTTTGCCAGTCTTTCAGTTTAACAAAGGATAATATAGCTTTTCTACACTTCCATTCTTTCAATCTTACCTGTTGGTCATATTGCTAAAAAGTGAGTTCTTTAAAGCTTGCTAATCATGGTTTATTTCAATGTCAGAGTGAGCTTTATCAGTGATAGCTGATAAATGTGAGGTCCACTCACATTCTCATTTCCTCAAGGATAACTATTCCCACATGACACTTGTCTCTTCTCCCATTCCTGGTTCGATCTTCTGGTGCTTAATTTGACAGTTATGTCCATGACTATCTCTTCCTATTTTCCAGTCATGCAGACCCCCTCAATTCTGAAGTGTATTTATATCTCTCCCTTTGCACACATGCTGACCTTCCCTCTCAGTGCAAAGTAAACCTTGCCTTTGTGTGGTCCTCTCCCCACACTCCCTCCCTTGCTTGTGAACACTGACTGTGCACATTACATGCTTGCTCCTCCAGCCTCAATGTTCCCAAAGCAGGGAGGTCTCATTGCCCTTTGTCCCCCTGGTTGGTACAAGGTCTGGGAGGGGCTGTGCTCTACATATTCCTCGAACCTTCCTTTGCCAAATCAACTTAAAGGCTAACTTTACTAAAGAGGACAATCAGAATGTCTCCAATTTCATTAGCAATATGTTTTGGTCTCTGTTGTGGAACTTAAATCTACATTGATCAGTTAATAAACTGTGCATTAGCCACGATGGACAACTGGTTTTCAGATTATTTTCCTAAAATCTATGGTGGATTGAAAGAACTTAATAACTGAATTTTTTTTAAAAGAAACTTTCTCATCCAAGAAATGAGTTCAAAGGTCTTTAGGTGACAGGAGTGTCATCTTTTGGAAGTAAACTGTGACATGTTTTGAGGGGGAAGTTTTCATTTGCTAGTCGGGGCCACCAGGCATCCTCAATTTGGGAATACAATGTAATAATGTCTCCTTGGTAGCTAGGAAGAAGATAAATACTAATAACAAAAACAAAACTTACAATAGAATGATTGCTCAGAGGAAGTAAACTGAACAGAATAGAAGCTTACACTACTTTTATACCTCCTCAGCTAGGAATTGACGCAATAAAAATCGATAAACATATTCTTTGAAAATATCCATGTAGTTGCTGGGAGGGAAGGAAAAAAATCATACAGCCGGTGTGAGATAATTAAGAGGCAACACATCTATTTAAACATAATGGACTACTGGGGGGTTTTTTTGGTACTGGGGATTGAACTCGGGTCCTTGTGCTTTCGAGGCAGGAGGCGGAACTACTGAGCTAAATCCCCAGCCCTAAACATAATGGACTATCTTACTAGAAGGTAGATTTTAAAAAGCTGAGCTGTATTCCTTTGTTTCAGCAAAAAAGATAAGCCAATCATCTATTTTAAAATTTAAAAATAAAATCAGGGTTAAAGAAAACACATGCTGAAAGTTACCTTAAAACCTCAATGAAACTGGGTGTGGTGGCATGAGGCTATAATCTCAACTAGTTGGGAGGCTGAGGTAGGAGGAACTTGGTTCTAGGCCAATCTGGGCAATTTAGTAAGACCTTGGAGGTGGTGGGGAGTGGTAGAGGTGCCTAAAATGTCAATTTTTAAAAAAACCTGTTTCCATTTTTTCAGGAAGGGATGCCTTTGAAAGGCAATTCTGTGAGCAAATGAATTTGCTGTTACAGAAAATCCTATCTTGTTCGAATTATATTTTATATTCTCATTTCTATAGGATTTGTGTATAAAACTTTAACAATTTTGTTATGCAACAATTTCAAAATGTTTAAAACCTAAACCCTCTCTTGCTGAAGAAAATAAAATGTTCATTTTGTCAGAACAAATAAAAACTCTACTTTTGAAATCTAAATGTTATTTCAAGACTACAACTGACTTTCTGTCTCTGGCACATGTTTTTAATTATTTAAAAACAAAATTAGCTGGGTGTGATGATGCTGTTTGTCAGGATGAGGCAGGAAGATTCAAAGTTCAAGACCAGACTGGACAACTTTGCTATTGTTTTTAAGAAATTTTCAAACTTCGTAGGAAGTTCTTTTTTATTTTTGTTGTGCAAGGGATCAAAACTCCAGGCTTCACAAATGCTGGGTAAACACTCTTACCACTAAGCTACATCCACAGCCCAAGAAGTGTTTTTAATTGACAGATTCTGGTTTAAAAAGTCAGTAAAAACATTTTTACTTTTAGATACTGTAACCTTGTGTCACTGTATTGTTAGACTTCAAATTTACATGTATGATAGTTTGACTCTCAGAAAACTCCTTGCCAGTCATGGTGGCACACATTTGTAGTCCCAGCACTCAGGAGGCTGAGGCTGGAAGACTGCCACCAACTTGAGGTAAGCCTGGGCTATACAGTGTGAGTTCAAGGCCAGCTTGAACAATGTAGATAGGCTTTGTCTTTAAAAAAAACCAAGGGGCAGGAGATTTAGCTCAGTGGTTTTGCTGCCTGCTGTGCTATGCCTGGCACCAAAAAAAACCACCCAAAACCCCAAACCTTATCCAATCATGGCCCAAAGCCATGATGTCATTTTTACTGAGGCCAATAACTAAAAGTTGTCCCTTTCCTGTCATTCCTCAGGCACTTGCTTGTCAATCATCCTTAAACAGCAGTTTGCTAGATAGGCTGCTCCCTAGAGCTTTGGAGTTCTTTGGTTTTTTGTTTTTGTTTTTGTTTTGTTTTGTTTTTTGGTACCGGGGATCCAATGGAGTTCTTAATTCAAACATGTCAGTTCATTATATTGGCCACTGTTTCTCTCCATCACACTTTCAAATTGTTTGCAACTTCACAGATCTTCCCAAAATAGTAGGAAGAACAGCAAACTAGAATTGAATAATTCTATCATAATTTCTAATGAACCATAGAATATTTATTTATTCATTCTTTCATCCATTTATGGATGGTGCTGGGGACTGAACCCAGGGACTGAACTCCTCCCCCATTTTTCTTGAGACAGGATCTTGCTAAGCTGACAAATTGCTAAGAATTGAACTAATTAATGATCCTCTTGCTTCAGCTTCCTAGGGTGTGGGTAGTATAGATGTATGCCACCAAGCCCAGCTACATTTTTATACTGTCACTCATTTTCAAGTTCTTTCATTTCTATCCACACGGACTGGCAAGTGTTTTACCACACAGCTGAACAATGAAGGCCAAAGTACCATGCACTCATTACCTAAGGGACATGTACCATGCATGGAGTTTATGTGCATAGATCTATAAAGTACCTCACTGAAATTGTTATGACATTACAATTCGCTTACTTTAAAATAATAAGGGGAATTGATGGCAAAAAAGTAGTATATAGTTAGCACTGTATTATTTGAGTGGAAAATTCCATGAGAACACACACATACCAGTATTTGTAGACTTGCCTTTATAATTTAAAATTTGTAGTCCTGCCTTTGTAATGAAATGTAAATTTTTCAGTACAAAATTAATGAATGTTCATCCTTTGGCCGAATTGTGTTCAACCTTGTAGGAGTACTCCTAAAAAAATGTATTAGTTCCTCAAATCACTCCCATCCCACCACCACCAAAGAAAATACATTTGATAACCATTCAGTATGGTGGCAAGAAAACAAAATAATCTTAATTAAAAACAACACACTCCTTGCATTTTTTATAATGAAATCAAGATTTTGGGTCCCAAGCTATTCATCGTTAAGAGAATGTGTTTAATCTGACGTGAAGTTGGCTACCCAGCAGTCTAGTCAGGCTGTCAAACCTTTAACTCAGGGTCTGGTAGGCTGCCAGCCATTCTAAATGTTTTCACACGGTGAGCAATAAATAATTAAATGTCTGAGTCACAATTCTCAGATTGAACAGCAGAGAGAACTCTGCATCACTTACAAGGATGGCCAAGAAATGTTTTGCAGGGAGAGGCCACAATTGGTTATTAGGTGCCCTGGCACAAGCGATGCTCTTCCAGAGTTGATGATGATGTCTTCTTATATGGATTTCAAATGACTAATTATACAATTTTTACAGGTATATTTGCAAAAAGATAGTCTCCATTTATATCTTCGATGCAGGAAAGAACTCTACATTTGTGAACTACAGGTAATCTGCCTGAGGTTTTGGTCCTGGTACTGTCACTAGCAACTTATGACAAGTGACAAGCGTCCTAGGTCTAATACAATAAAATTAGGTTACAGTGGGGGGCTGGGGTTGTAGCTCAGTGGCAGTGTGTTTGCCTAGCATTATGTAAAGCTGAGTTCAATCCCCAGCAATGAAAACAAAAAAGAATTATGTTAGAATGGGAGATGTCTTGAGAAAAATAATACATCAGAGTACAGCCATGTGTATTTAAAAATAAATCCCAAAGACTTTCCCAGTTGGCTTTCTCTCTTTTTACTGCAGCCCAATTGGTTCTCATGCACATCCCACTGGACATTTCTGGGGCTCCTTCCAGCTTGAGATGCAGCTTTTAAAAAAATGATGGGGGATATGGCTAAAAGGAGATCTAACACTGATGGACTTGGGAAATAAGATGCTTTCCCACAGGCATAGTTTCTTTGAAGCTCTTTCCTGGTGAAACCTAAGTGTTGATGGTTTTGACAGATTTAAAACCATGCCATGACTTCATTTAGAGATGCTCCAACTCATCTTTGTCCCAAGTAGCATGTTGTGGTTAGGATCCTAAATGGTCTTCCAAGGCCCATATGTTAAAGGCTTTCCCTCATGGCAACTTTGGGAGGTGGTGGGGCCTCTCTGGTTGGAGGAAGATTCCTGGTGGCCTGCCGTCCAAGGAAACTGTGCTGCCCCAGTCTCCTCCTCTCCTTTTGCTTTTCAGCCCTGAGGTAGGTGAGCAGCTTTGCTCCACCATGCACACCCTGCCATGATGCACTTCCTTTCCACAGTTCCAAAGCCAACCACAGCTGAAATAGCTAAAACTGTGAGACCTATCTTTACTCAATTATAGTGACACAAAGCTGACATGTAGTATGAACAGCAATCACTGGTCAGATAATCAGGGCAGAATGGTTGACTGGTTATTCTTACATTCTTTTACAAAATTACCATGCTGCAAGGCTGGACATATAGCTTAGTGGCAGAGAACTTGCGTAGCATGTGAGAGACCCTGGGTTTGATCCCCAGCACCACACACACATAGATTACCATCCAGCGCAAAGTAGTATGTCACAGATGACTTGAAAAGCTGCCTTTGCAAAACTCATAAATCTTAGAATACCTCTGGTAAATTCTACATATCTCTGGAAACAATTCAGTGAGTTGTTACATGTTTGATGCTCACAATAAAACCACACTGTTCATATTTCATGTACATGAACAGATATGCTTATTTTTACAAGTGTTTCCCAGCAAAAATAATTTTATATTTTAAAATAATTTAATTATCTGGCCATAAAAAAGAATGAAATTATGTCTTCTGCAGCAACATGGGATGATCCAGGAAGATATAATGTTAAGTAAATACACAGGACACAGAAAGAAAACTATGACATGTTCTTATCATATGTATGCAGAAGCTAGTAAAGGCGATCTCAAAGGAGAGTATCATAATGGTTATCATAGGTTGGAAGGTCAGGAGGGGGGACAGAGAGGGGTTAAAAGGTACAAAAATAACAGGATTAAGTTCTAGTGCTCCATAGGGAGATAGGGCGATTGCAGTTAACAATATCCATTGTATATTCCAAATAGGTAGAAGAGGATTTTGAGTACTTCTAACACGAAGAAATGATAAATGTTGTGCGTGCGTGCGTGTGTGTGTGTGTGTGTGTGGTGCTGGGGACAAACCCAAGGCCCTGTACATGATAGGCAAGTGCTCTATCCTTGAGCTAACTCCTCAGTCCAAGTAATGATAAATGTTTGAAGTGGGTATTTACTCTGATTTGAGCACTACATGCTATATCCTTGGGTGCAAAATCACACTGTTCCCCATGAATATGTACAATTGTGTCAATTCATATTTTAAAAATTCATTGAAACATGTCTTAAAATAATCTGAGTCAATTTTAGTACAGTAATTCCAATTTTTCAAAAATAAAGCTCAGAAAATTATATACCTATAATTAATTTCATCTGTAATTCTTAGCTTTTTCCATTCTAGAGTTCCTTACTTTAGCATGCAACAAAAGAATGTTACCACTAGACACCACTGAGAAATACAACCAAAACCACTGGGTTGAAAATATAAATTCCCATCTTTTCTAACTTTAGTCTTTAGGCTGGAGTTAATTTTAAAAGCTTTAAAAATATTATGGGAGGGAAAAATCCCAGAAGTACTGTACAAGTAAATAATACTTTGTGATATGACAAAAAATATCACATTTGGCTAGGAAGTTGGGATTTTATTCATCTGAAGAAGTGACGGACAAGCATCTTTTTTTGGGGGAAAAAAAATCTACTGAAATGATATGTTAAATACAGAAATAAAACATTTTCTCATATATTTTTAATAGATTTCATACTTCCCAATGATAACGGAGTGTCTCCAATGTATGCATTTTGCCCAGATCATCTGACATTAAAGAACCAATAATTTATAGTTCTGTTTTGTTAAAGTAATTAACAAACAGTACTGAGTTCAGGGATCCTCCCACTTCGGACTCCCAAGGCTGTCATCTTTTACACTGGAACTACAGGCATCTGTCACTGCACTCTTTTTTGAAGGTCACACTACGTTGTCTGAAACATGCCACTAACAGGGTATGACTGCGTTACCTGAGGTGCTGCACTGGTTGAAGCCAGCCAGTCTTGCTGGTTTCTTCTACTTAGAACATGTGTCTTTTACAGTAAGAACTGAGAGCCTTCTGCATCTAGAAAGTGATAGCAAGGAAGGAGCATGTAACTAAAACTAATCTGATATAGTTAACATTCTCACCTAGGTAGTCATATCGACTAGACTGAAATACACTAGTCCTCAAAACCTGAACTGGTTCGTCTACAGGACTTCCTTACAAAAAGATCTCAAGTCAGAAGGCACAGGAAGTCTGGCTTATGTCACGTTCTAAGATAAAGAAACATCTCTTGTACCCTCAGCTGAGCATCTCACTTTTTAAACGGCCCTACACTAGTCAGCAAGGTATCTATGGTGCCAGCCCTGCCTCCAAGAGTGGGTGGTCTCTGCAGAGGGAGATGCTCACTCACTCTACCTCTGGCCGCAGCAGCCAGTTCCTGCAGCTGGACTGAGGGCAGCCCACAGACTGCACTCGGCACATTTCTTCATTTCTCACTTGAGTGCCCTTCTTTAGTTCCCTTTCAACTGCCCACTTTATATTGGCTTCATTACACCACCGCTCCATTTGTAATGTAAATTGGGAAACTCAGGGAAGTTTTTCTTTTGGCCTTGTCTACGGAAGAATACCGAGAGGTATTCAAAACGTATTAACACAAATCAATGGCACCAATAAAAGCAAAATCTCCTTAGCAACATAATCTTGATTGCAAAAGGAGAACTGAGAGCATTTAGCAGAACAGTGGCCCACATGGAATACGCATTTGTCTGGAAGAATCCAGCACAAAGCCTAAAAGCGAGATTTTGAAAAAATCCAAAATTAACTCACAGGAACAGTTACTCTTTTTTTCAAAGGTACACAATTGGCTACATTAAATCTATCATGTGCTTTTGGCTCAGCAACATTGTATCACACTGCTTTGCAAACTGAAATTACAACACCCTCATGCTTCAGGAGTTACAGGGTGTTTTTTGTTTGTTTTGTGTTTTTTTTAGGTTTTTTTTTTCCCTTGGTTGATTTCTTTAGCAAAGCAAACAAAAAGTCTCAAGAAATATTCATCTCACACACAATGCAAAGAAAATTGAATGGCTACCTAACAATATGTAAAACTGTAGGTACAAAAGGTTGGACTATGTTTTAGGCTTTCCACAGTGGATTCCAAGATAGCAACTACAGCAAGCAGTAAGGGCATTTTTGATGGAGTCTCCACTTGTGAAAAAAATTTAATACACTTCTGAGAATTCATATTTTGTTAGAATGCAAACATCAACGAAAGAGTGGAAATTCAGAAAATGAGCATTCTTTAAAACAATATTGAGATTCAAGGAAATGTAAAAAATTCTCAAAACCCCTTAGTTTCTAAATGTCTTATGTAGAATTAATTAGCATTTGTATTTTAACTAAACGATCCAAGTGACAGAAGTAAAACATCTTTACTGTACTGAGTCATGTTTGTTTTTTGGGTTTTTTGGGTACAGGGGATCAAACCTGGGACCTTGCATTTGCAAGGCAGGGGGGCAGAAGCACTGAGCTAAATCCCCAGCCCGAATCATCTTTATCTTAGAATTACATCTGTGTAATTATGCACAGGTGTATATATCTTTTCCATATAATATAGAGCTGTTTTATAAGGGTTAAACTTGAATCTGGATCAAACTGAAAAAAGTTTGTGTGAAAAATAAGTCATTTGTTAGAACATAATATGTGTAGTGATTAAATTCTATCTGCCTCCACTTGAAAACCTAAATAGGACAATAATCATATTTAAAAGCTTCATTTAAATTTTAGGGATAAAAGAAATCTTTGGAGAAAGGGTTAATGAGTATGTTGCATTTTCTTCCTTTTTCCCCCCATGCAGTGTTGGGAGACTAAACTCAGGTCCCCATGCATAGTCAAGTGCTCTATCACAGAGCTGTATTCCCACCCCTTTTTTCCTATTCTTATTCCCAACTGTAAATCCATGAACATATAAAATTTTCTTTAAATTCACTGTACACAGTTCCTAAAGTAATAATGATATCAGTCTAATTACTTCTTCCCAGATAACTGTGTAGATCATGTCTCCTGAAGGTGTTTTGTGTGTATTCAACTTATTCATATAGACATTTCAACAGGCATTATTAATTTGGACATTTCCTTCAAAGAGATGGGACCTCTAAGTTCCAGCCTGTTTTCTTTTTTGTCACAGGGGACTGAACCCAGATATAGCTGTGCTATATCCCTAGCTTGCCTGCCTGCCTTTAATTTTACTTTGAGACAGGTCTTGCTCAATTGCTTAGGCTGGCTTCAAATCCCCAGTAGTTAGGATTACAAGCATGCACCACAGAGCCTGGCCAGCCTAACTCCATGTAAACTAATTTATGATTTCATTTAATATATTACATTAATTAACAAAGAGGTTTTTAAAAAAAATTCCCCTAGCTCATATTAGGTTTCTATTTGTTCACTAGAAAATTCCAATCAATGAAGCCTTAATTATAACCAACAAAGGACCAAAAGTCCCCCCACTAAAGGCACCTTAACTGTAAGCTCTCTATAAATCTCTTCAACAGACTTTCATCTAACAAAAGAATTCATTTTAACTAGATTATGTTTGGCAATGATTTTAATTTGTGAATAATGAGAGCAAAAATATAATCTTTGAAATTCAACTTTGTATTTTACCAAAGTTATCTTCACTTTATTTTTAATGTTACTGGACTCACTTGAATGTTATTAGAATTATTTGAAAGCACTCCTGAAAGGGACCACTTCTTGGTTCTGTATAACCAATTACCTAACAAAATTTGATTATTTTATTTGAAAAGTATTCGATGTTCATTTAAGCACATGAAAAAAATTCCTGTAATCTTTTTGGTTTTTTTCTAAAGCCACATTTAAATTATAAAAGATAAATGGAGGCATACTTTTTTTTCCCCAAGGTACCCTCATTACCTTCTTAAAGGACATGATAGGAGAAGAAAATTCTATCTCACACAGTATTTTTTTTTTTGGAACCGGGAATCAAACTCAGGACCTACCACTTGCGAGGCAGGAGGCAGAACCACTGAGCTAAATCCCCGGCCCTTACACAATATTTTTTAATCATTTATTTATTGTTTTTTTCAGACATGGTCTATATAGTACAAACTGACTTGAACTCACTATGTAGCCCAGGCTGGCCTTGAACTTGAAGTGATACTCCTACCTCAGCCTCCCAAGTGCTAGGATTACAGGCCTGCACCACTATGCCTGACAGAGCTGTATTTTTTTTTTTAAAAAAAAACAAAGCAATGATTTTCATTGTAATTGAATATAAGTGTACATAAAAGCAAGCATAAAACTGGGAGCAATTTCTGACCATTGGACACTTTTCCCCTTTGTAAGCACTGTAGGTTCACAATGCAGTGATATGTCTTAGCTGGTGGATTGCAGCATCTTGCCTCCCAGTGCTGTCTACTTTGCTTCTTTCACCTGCCACCACTGAATCACATCTACCTCTTCAGGGAGGGCACTATGCTAATAGCTTCAACAATGTAAAAAGAAATTGAAAATAAAAGGGATTTGATAACATGGGTGAAGAGAAGCCCTTGTTTATAAAGATTTCACAGCAATATAATTAGACTGTTGTAATTACTTAATAAACTGCTACTAGAGAAAGAAGTCTTCAGTGCTTCTAGACTTTAAATTTATATAGTACTTCTATCAAGAGGAAAAACTCCAATTAGTAGCTTTACTAAATCTAGAACCAGAGCTGGACATGATGGCACTGTGACTGTAATCCAAGCACTCTGGGGTACTGAGGCAGAAAGATCACAAGTTTAAGCTCAGCCTGAGTGTATGTGATGTGCAGCAGTGGGAATATAGTTCAGTGAGAAAGCTTCAAATTCAAGCCCTAGTACTGAAAAAAGCAAATGTAAACAAAGAAACTATACATACTGTCTCAGTATAGGACAGTAGAAAAAACAATAATCAATTACCTTCTCCTGAAGGTTGGTACTATATTTCTTTAAAAAGCAACAAAGTTGCAATAATTTGCCAAAAAATTAAGAATGCCTTGGGCAGTTTATTGATATATTTCTGATAAGGAGTTTGGAAAGCAAAATACTGTCTACTTCTCATAAAGAGAAAAAAACAAGTTATACTCCAATTATGAGCACTGTATATTTATGAAGTAGAGGCAATGTAAAAAATCCCCTGCATGATTTTAAGTATGTCAGATATATAATTTTAAATGTCTTATTAGAAAGGAACTTTCAGCTGCGTGTTGCGTGTGGTGGCACATGCCTGTAATCCAAGCGCTTGGGAAGAGAACTGCCATGAGAGTTCAAGGCCAGGCTAGGCTACACAGTGAGTTCAAGGCCTGGCTGGGCTACACAGTGAGTTCAAGGCCTGGCTGGGCTACACGGAGAGTTCAAGGCCAGCCTAAACTACAAAGTGAGACCCTGTCTCAAAAACCAAAATAATAATAAGAAAGGAACAGTTAAGTACTATATTTATCATTTCTCTGATTTTTAAACTCACAAAGCCATTATATGTAGGGAGTGCCCAATCTCTTTAATTTAAATGTAAAATTTGACCATAATTCAGGTTTGTGCTGACACTGTAAATAATTCAAAAAAGCTCAGTCATTACTATTAAACATTTAGGTACTTAAGTTTTATATAGGGCTTAACAAATAACAGGAAAAATTATTAAAAGCACTGTTTCACAGAATAACACCATGAGGTAGTCATAGCATAAAATCAAGAGGCTAAGTAATCTGATGATAGTTCAACATATCAGGAATGAATTCAAAATCAGCAAACAGCATCCTACATTTTTGTTTTCAGTATTACCAAGTAAGATAACACTGACTATTTTGCTGGTTCATACACCATTTCGAGGTGGAAAATACTGATTGCTATTAGAGAAACAAGTACACAGAATCACAGTTAATAATATAAACGTTACTTAGGCTTCTCTTAAATTGCTATCTAAAAATCTTTGTACATGTGAAGACAAGATAACTCAAGATTTACAGCTATCCTTCAAATCTCAACTTCTATAAAAGACATAATCCAAAAACAACATAAAGTTGGGTACTACACAAATGAAAAATTAGAAATTTCATTTTATAAAAGGTTAAATATTTAACATAAACCACTGTGGGATAATAGTTTGGTTTAGCATTGGTTTATTCCTTCCTCCCAAAAATTAAGACATAAATCAGCTTCCTTCAAAAAGAATGGTTTGAGAGCAGCCACAAGTTCAACCGTCCTAACACTCCTTCCTTTTCACGAAAGTCTGGACAGACAGGATCTGTTAAGAAGAAAAACATCAATTGTACCACTGCACCAATTAAGAAACTCCCTTTGTAAAAGAATTAACATTCTCCTGGGGAGCTTTGAGGAAGATAAAAAGGTAACTGAACTATGCCCAGGTGTAGGTGAAAAGTGGGTCATCCAGAGGCCAAAGGAAGGATCCATGGAAATTCAGAAGAGAAAGAAAGAGAGTCCAGGACTACACACTGGAGTTCAAAGACAGTTTTAAACACAATGCATTTCTGACTTAGTACCACTGACTAACTGCAAGCCAAAGCAAGTATTCACAGCCAAACATCCGGCATGCAGCTAAAGGGTGTCCCTATGAAACCAGATACCAGGAAAGTTGAAACAGACTCTGTACATAATGTTAATAAAACTAGTGTAACTTGAACTCATGCAAATGGAGCCCAACTATACATACTACTATTTAATATAATTTTACAACCAACAATTGAAATGGAATGTTGCCAAAGTCTCTACGGCTGACCTATATCTACTAATATAAAATCAGAAACTCCATATAAATAATATTGAAAATACAACCCTGGAGAAATTGTGGTTCTTCCCGATTTAAAATTATTCAATAAAAAAAGCTTTTCTAATAAGAAAATTACTTACTATTATTCAAGGTTTTGTTAAATTTATTTTGTAGATTTTAGGTCAAAATTATGTGTTCATATTTTAAATGACTGACACCCAGTCATTCAGAAGTCTTAATAAGGCATGTGATGATCATTTTAGATAGGTTAGCAACCACCTTTCGAGGGAAGGCCAGTATCTACCTCAGAAGTCAATTGTTTCACATCAGTTTTACTACAGTCATTAGGCTTTTTAGAGATCTATTTTAACCCAGACATGCAAAGTTATGGACTAGGGGGAAAAAAAGGATTTACAAAGTATATTACTTGAGCCAGGGATTTAGCTCAGTGGTTCCATCGCTTGCCTTGCAAGCGCAAGGACCCGAGTTCGATCCCTGGTACCAAAAAAAAGAAAATTCACAAAGTATATTACTTGAGAAAAGAATGTTTCTATACAGGAATGGTGACTGTAAAATGTCAGTAATTATAAAAAAAGACATCAGAGGTTATTCACTTAGCCTATATAAGATCTATACATTGGATTTTCTGCCAATATCTTTCCTTGGCCAGTTTAAAAAGACCTATGATTCATGCCCTACAAATTGTAAACCAGAACAGGCTCTGAAGAATAGTCATCATTTTAAATATTTCCTTGGACTGATGCTCAGATAACATAGGATTCTCTACATTTCTAATTTTCAGTAACATAAGCACTTTAAATTCATGATTCAAGAAATGATAACACACTGAAGGCTACTAATGAAAACTAAAGAATGAAATTCTAACTGTTCAAGGTGTAACTGGCTTATGTAATGCCACAGATTAAGCATTTAGGCTTCTTTTCTACAGATACACTGGCAGTATGAGTGCTTCAAGCAACTGACATACCCTCAAAATTAGAAAAGCTTTTCAAAATTCTATATTAATATCAACTATGAAAATTGTTAAAATATTATTAAAGGAATATATTAATTTTGAAAATTATCACAGACTAGCAGGAAAAATTATGTCTAATAAGTTCTTATAAAGCTGATGACTATAGGACTATGGATTTACACAATTTTATACAGAAACACTGTGTTGCATAGTCTACACAGTCATTATAGTTTTCTGCTCTTTCTAAATCTTGAGGCAGATTTAGCTGTACATGGAGACACAGGAATTTTCACACTGAAACCACACTGGAATTTCTGAATAGCATTACTTTAAACGGTACTACTTTAAGAGGACACACCCTGACACAAGTTAAATAAAAGTGAGAAGTATTTGAATTCTTTGAACTTTGAGCTCTTCAGAGAAACAGTGCTCCATAACTTCAAGTTAAGTTGTTTAGGGAGCCAATGAAAATAAGTAATTCTCAGACGAAAAATAATTTTTTAAATTCTAATTTTAAAATAGTTCCTAATGTCTAATATATGACATTAGGATATAATGTTGGCATTTAACTATTCAAATTTATATAGAAGTACAGTACTTTGGAGAAGTACAAATATATTTTTTAAAAATACATTTACATAAACTAATGAAACTGGTATTTAAAAGATTTAATACAAGGAAGAAAAGGTATTGTATAGTGGTATCAATTCTTAATACAAATTATTAAGCACAGTTTATATAATTTCAAGTTATTCACATTATTGCTTGATACCACAGTTGCATGGAACAAGTTCTTGATATACATTAAAACTTGTATAATTGTAGACTTATAAAAACAAAAATTTACACATAGGTCATTCAGAAATTTTAAAAGTTTAAAACTGCAAGGAGATATGTACAACCAAAAGGAGAAAAATATATATATATGTATATGTGTACATGTATATTTAAAAGCAATAAACTAATCTGACTCTAACTTGTATGTCACTCTTAAAGAAGTATACATAAGTGGACTGAAAGTGAATGGGTGGATAAACACAGTACTAAATATGTCCTCCATTTCTTAGTAATAATCATCTAAATATCAATGGGGTACTGAACACCAGCTTACTTTTAATTCTAGAACTTTTCTTTCTTTCCAAAACTTTTCAGAAGCATACCCATCTACAACTGTGTTAGATTGGGAGAAATATTTTTCTTAGAAATTTTTAAAAGAAGTTACTTCTATACTTTTGTATATAAGATTTGATGAACAATAAAAATAACCCAAGTAAGGCCATTATTAGTATCAACTTGATAAAAAATATACAGATTGTAATGCTACTATATTTTGTGATCCTGAGCTCTAGTAACCATTGGATGCATGCATACCATTCACTGATTTATCTAGTCTAATAAAAATCCTGCCTTACCACTTCTGAAGACAGAAATATTTTAAAAATTTTTATAGGTCTTCATAATGTTAACAGATATATCTGCTGTAAACAAAGCATTAGGAATTGTATGAGAAAGGGCATGTTTGGTTCCAAAAGGCTATTAAAGAAAAATTATTAGTTTAAAATAATTATTAAAAAGAAGAAAAATACAAAGAATATGTTTGTTAGGATAGATAAGCAGAGCTTTATAATGGTGTTTTTCTATATTAAGGAATATATAAATGATATAATTTATAAATGATAAAATAAAAAAGGCTGGCCACTTTTATGCTAAGTTCAAATGTATTTTTTTGAGAATACAAAAAAGTAATTCTTGAAAATCAGAATACATAACAGAAAAGAACACAATAACTTAAGTATTAAACATCTGTATGAAATAACTTGCAAAGTTTGACAAATATGCACACGTAGAACATGCACTTATTTAAAAAACAAAAACAAAAACACCACATGATTCTGTAGAACCAATGTTATGTCACCACCAGAAGAGCACCAAGCAAGGCACCATTGGAAAGACAACATACTTGGAAAGTCTCTATAAATAAAGTAAATGCTAATCTGGTCGAAAAATCGGTGTCTTTGGTAAAAATTCTATGAGGATGACCTGCAAAAGGAGAAGAAAACATTTTTTAAAGATTTAAGCAGATTTTTATCTTAAAATTTCAGTTATACTCTATTACAGCTTTTTTGAAAATCCATTCACGTTTCACAATTACAACTTTGCATTCCTAAAACAGACATTTATCTGATAACCCAGAACCTCATCACTGACAATTTTTCTTTTTAAATTTCTAGACCTTTACCAAATACATAAAATTCCTCAGCTCTATGAAGCAAATGACAAAATAACCAAAGTCTGAGAAGGTAAGTGGAGAAGGGCAACAAAGAGAGTGCCCCAGGCATGCATGCATACATGAGAAAACTAACTGCATACAGGGGTTTCATACTATATTAAGGTGTCTACTTAATCTAGACAATTTATGAGACAAGTATTATCATTCTTCATTTTACTTCACTTCTATATAGACACTTTACTATCTTCACTTCATTTTACTGATAAGAATACTGACAATCCCATTATTTGCAATCTTATGGGTTTTGGAGTCAGTATTTAAATAAATGATTGCCAAAGCCTTGCCCTTTCTACTGTATTATTTCTACTAGAACTAACCCAGTACTTCTCTTCATGCTCCCTTTCTTGCCAACCCTCTTCCAAGGGCATGAGGCCCTCATTTTGCCATAGCAGGATATATGATCTCCACAGAAAGGTCACTAATGTCTTTTTTGAAGTCTTTCTCTTCTGGGGTTAGCAAAATTAATTTAAGTTTGTTCCAAAGATACTTTTAACAGGAAACTAAAGAAAAATAAACAAACAAAAACAATAACACAGAAATACCAAAGATGAACAAAGCTCAAGTTGATTCCAAACTTGATCTATCTTAAACTACAATTAACTCTTCCTTTTGCTCCAACTCTGTTTGGAATAGATGCTGGTCAAAAAATTATTTGAAGATGCAGGTGGTGGCACACGCCTGTAATGCCAATATTTGGGTGGCTCAGGCAGGATGTTCTGAAGCCAGACTGGGCCACATAGCGTGTTCAAGTCCAGCCTGAGCTATATAATGAGATCTCATTTTAAACAAAAAATGACAAGGAGAAAACAACAAAAATTATCTGATTTGAACAATTTCCAAGTTTGGCAGATTCCTCATTGTTTTTTTCAGACACTGTGTCTTCACATGAGCTCCAGATTTGAACAAATCTAAAAGCCATCTGAGCCAGGAACCTTCATTTTTTACTCTTGATTTCTATCACTTTTGATCTGCCTCAATAAAGAAGGTACTTCAATTAAAAATATTCCAGTCCTACTCTAGTTATCCTGTACTAAACCCTTACTTGCTACCTTTGCCATTCTGCTCACCTATTATTTGTCCATAAAATATTCACTAGCTCCCTGTTAAAAATACTTTCTCCCATATAGCTTCTTAATTTCAGCTAGATTTTCCTGTTTCTCAGCTTCCTCACTTATAAAATAGAGGAAGAACTGGACTAGATGACAAGATTCTTTGTACCTCTAGAACACAATGATTAAATTATTTAAACTGCTTATTAGTTAACATTCAATAAACACTTCTATATTTCAAACATGCCCACATTTAGTGGTCTTAAGAATTTCAGTCCCTGGGTGTGGGCATCACATTTTACAGTATATTCTACATAATTTAAAATGAAGGCTATTTTTTTATTATATTTGAATTGCTGTCTCCCCTCCCCCCTTCTTTTTCTTCTTCTCTTTGGTACTTCAGGGTCTCATGCATGCTAGGCGAGACTCTATTACAGATACCTCACTTTTTTTGTTGTTTTAAAGACATAATCTCACTAAATTGCCCAAGCTGGCCTCAAACTTGGAATCCTCCTGCTTCATTCAGCCTCTGGAATAGTCAGGATTACAGATGTTCTAGTTATTAAGGAACATATTCTACAAACTCTTTTCCTTTACAAATCACATACAGAAACTGGCTACTGTCTTGTTTCTTCTACACTGCATCTCTCTAGTTTATCTGAATAAAGAAAAGTTAGTATCAAGTTACCATTTATACTACATTATCTCCAAAATTCAAAATATGATCAAGAAAAATGATTTTTCATTAACCAACATATTTCTGCAAGCTACAGCAAAGATAGTAAAAAAGCTCAAATTCATTAGATTAGGATGTACTTTCTTCATACTAAATTATGTGCTCTTTTAACTTTAAAATTTATTTTTAGTTAATTTTTGAAGCTATGTTATTCCTACTTTCAGGTACCACAAATACACACACTGAGAAAATCTAGAAAAACATCTTTTAGTCACATAAAAATATTTGTTTTACTGCTCCTCTGGAGATTTTTTTATGGTGATATGAAAAATAACACAATGGCTTCGGAAGTGCTTAATTACATAAAAATGCAAGGTAAATTAAGGGAAACTATTTTACAAACTATTTTATATGTTCAGAATGTTTTAGAAGGTTATCAAATTATTTTTAGTTAATAAAAGGAAGCCCTAAAAATAGTAAGCATATTTTGTGAATGAATGATACTTACATAGATCTACTTGGAAATCGCAGCGTTGGGAATAACTTTTTTTGTGGTGGTAAAGATTGAATCCTGAGCCTTGTACATGGTAAGCAAGTGCTCTATAACTGACCAATACTTCAGCTCAGGAGTAACTACTGTTTTCATTTCCCAAGTAAGTTTTGAAATGCACAAAAATAACTAAAAACCTCAGTTTTAGGCTTAATGTTTGGGTAAATATGCAATAATTAATTTTTCACAAGATTCTTTAAATCTCCTAGTTATCTCTCTCTCCAAAATATATACATAAACCCCCTAGGATGAAAAGATAAGACTAGTATTTTCACAGGTCAATCTGAAAATATGTTACTCAAATGCGCTTTTTAAATAATTATAAAGAATTATCAAGTGCCTTTCTCATCATCATAAATTAACATTTGGTATAATAAAGGTAAAATCTACATTATTCAGTTCATTCAATAGAGCTAGTTTACAAAAAAAGAGACACTTAAAAATATCTTTTATGTTCAATGCTAAAAATGGGATTTGACTGCATAATAATAAAAGAACCAGAAAATGCTAACGGAGAAAAATGATTTTATGATAATTTCCAACTATTTAAACACTTTTCATCAATCTTCTTTGCACACACATACAATCTATGATGGTTATATTGTTTCAAAGAATAGACAAAATTCATCAGAAATATACCAGGTACTTCACAAAAGCTCTGGTTTTAATTTTCAATAATTAATTCTTCCTTAAATCTTTTTCATTTAATGTAATAACCTTTCCACATTTAAAACACTCAAGTTCAAGGAGAATAAATAAAAATTCATAATTTTCTATAGTATCCCTAACTTCTCAATGAGGAGATCAATTGTTCAAGTAAATTAGGGAATATGTAAATTAAAGTTCTAAAACTCATTGTTTATACATGCAAAATTCAATATAAATACTAGACAATCAGTATGTCCTCTTCTGTTTACTTTTAAGATGATTTTCACAAAGCCATATTCTAATAACATGCAAAAGATTCTGTAAAGGCCACTAAGGTATACGGGCAGTTAAAGTCTCTAAAGGCTAAAGGTTTCTTAAGCTCCAGTGGCTTGGCTGAAAGGTTTTCTTCCATACTTGGAAACTTGATTAGCATTATATAAAAAAGCCATATCTGACTTGCTGCGTAACCAAAGTTGTGATTATTCTTTATACAGCATCTAAAATTTCACACTCCATCAACACATGTTGAGGCTATTTTATCTTGGCAATTAATTTATTATTTTTCAGAACACAGTGAAGCCTTGTTTTCAAGTCATTCATAACTTTATAAATCAGTCTTGCACATGAAACCCATGCATCTGTGAACCGTAGAAAATCCTTGCACTCAGGAGATTAAGCTCCTGACACCTTTGCTGATTAATAATCATGGAAAGAATAAGATCAGAAGCAAAATAAATGATCATTTAATAGAGAAACTCACAAAACAGCCCTTTAACTTACATATTCCATCATGTTATTCGTTTCACATTTCCTTTTGCTCAGTCTCCAGTGCAAGCACAGCTAGACAAGTAGGAGAGTAAAAGAAGAAAAATGAGCTCTATTTTATTGCAGCACACAGACTAACCCATTTGTCCACCTTTCATATTTTTAGTTCAACAAAAGCATCTGTTTCCATACTGTGCAATTCAGACCCCAACAGTACGAAGCTGCTCCCTGTGGTACTCACCTTGTGGTATAACCTATTGTTTTCCCATTCTAATAACTTCTCAATCGATCTTCGTGTCTGGAAGACAAATGAGGAAAAAGTTTACTCTTGACTGGTTTTGCAGCTGCTTTTGTGTGCAAAGGGGAGAAGTATAAGACAGTGACTAAGTATAGGGTGGTGTGTATCGCTTCAAAGTTCTAGCACTAAATAGTAACCTGAACAGAAATAGTACTCTTTTTAACCAAACACAGCTTTGTTTTTAAGTATATGTGTCTTTTAAAGACTGTTTCAAACTTACTTCGAATTTAAAACTATCAAAGTAATTTATTAATGACTAATGTCATTTATCAAATGATATAAATTTAAATCCTCACTTTTTCCAAATATGTTTTTGCAGTGTTTAAATAGAAAGTTCCTTAACATATATTATGTATTGTATTTCAAAACAAAAAGTAATTTAAATATTAGTTTTAAAATGCTAATTTCATTTAAATCCAGAAATTAAAGTTAATAAAAAGACCGATAAAAATCAAACTAATTTTAAAGACTTAAAATACTTAAATACTGCCCATATTGAAAAGCCAGTTTATTAGACTCCAGATAGATTTTTTTTTAAACACCCAAAATTTTACTAACATAAAAAATGATGTCTGATAGGAAATCAAATTCTTAATCCAATAGCACTGTTTCAGAAATCATTGAAAAATTTGTTTCACTTGATTATTGCAATATATACTATGCAGCATGAAATGTTTCTTGCTTGGGAGGATGAATAAAGGAGAGGATAATTCATGGTGCCAGGTGTTAGGATGAGATGGACACAGCTGCAGGTGCAAAAGTGACAGTGTTGCCACAGGATCAACTGCAACTTGGTGCAGCTGCAGCTTTCTTGAGAGGGAGGATAAAAGCATCCATTGCTATTAATTTGGCACCACTGTAAATAAGTATTAATCAAATATGAAAATTTGCATGCCAATCAAGGATGAGCTACATAAAAATTGTTAGGATCAAGCTGGTCTTGACGTTTAAATGTTACATAATAAGATGTTAATGTTTATTTAAAGTACTGCTGTAATGCAGTTCCAGTATTACCTTTCAGTATGTTGAGCATGTTAAAGACACACCAAAGGCACATAGGTACCAATTATAATTCACAGCTACCAATGAATTACCACGACTGCTTTACATTTCCCAAGCTTATACCACAAAACTGAGAAAATCAACTACCTCGCTGAGCAATAATACACCAATGACTAATTTATTACATTACCTTTTCTGAACAGTCTTTTTGGCAAGAATTTTAAAGGGAAAAAAAAGTGCCCTTGTTAACAATGATCAGCAGACCTCACTTGTTTCTTTGTAAAGATAGCCTTTTAGAGGCAGCTCTCCTTTTAAATGAAAATAGGGCAGCAGTTATGGTCACACTTTTTGTTAATTTAGTTGCCAGTCAGCCCCAAATCAAAAGAAAATAAGGCTGCAGAGTGTAATTAACATTCAGTTCAGTCGTTTTGTCCCTTGTCTAGCCCCCAAGCTTTGTTAAAATTGCCATCTGAATGCTGAAGGCTGTAGGGAAATCGATTTGATTCTAATCGCACCATGAAAAGAACATGATCTAACTGCTTTCAGCCCTCCGTAAATCTGTACTAGGTCTTTAGCACAATGCAACTTCCAATTTAAAAAGCACTGAATGTCTCGTCAATGACTTTGTGAAGAAAAAAGAACAAGGAGCAGACATAAAAATTCCAATAGTTGTTTAAGCATTAAAGTTCATTTGCATCACAGCGAACCTGAAAAGGGCTGACCTCTCAAACCGCCTCTCAGGTCTATGAAGTTGTAGCCTTGACAAGCTCACATTGACAGAGCTCATTGACTCTGAAAGGCTACTCTATCAATGGTGAAAAATGGCAATAGGTTCTACTATGAGCAGGCATCTGCCTGCCCACCCGCTGCTAAACCAATGGTAAAACCGATTCAAAACCCGAATCTACCTTGTAATCTTCCTTTCTAGAGCCTTTTAATAATAGATTAAGATTACTATACAATTTGAAGTTTTACTTTTACTGATAGTTTAAAAGGGAAGGAGGGATGAAAGAACTAGGGTGGCGATAGAAAGCTAAGTTCATTGTTTTCTATTACTACATAAAAATAGGACCCAAAAGCTTAACACTACATTTTACAAATATTTATTACTGAAAGAATAAAAATGTTGCCACCATCATTTCATCAGAAATTTAAACCTATATTTTAATGAGTCTCATTATGATACATATGCACAAATATAAATGCAATCAATTTCAAAATTTAAAATTATTTAAGTAACTTCAGTCAATACCAGTATTTGAATAAAAGATAATTATAAAGTATGAGTCTTAAATTCCAAAATACTTATGTAGGAATTCCGAGTTTATTCTTTGCCTCTAATTAAGAGTTTAATGATAGGCTTTGCTATAATAATTGTATCTTACAATATTTAAGAACGCTAAACCAAACAAACCCTGCTCTGCCATTTTCTGCATAAGCATCTAAATACACAATGTTTCTACATACTTGACAAACTGAAATAAAAGCTGTGAATCAGTGCCACCTAATTCTTGCTATAAGACTTCTCTCCTGCTTGACAGGTGAAAAAAAAAAGCACTTGCACGTGCAGCTTAATTAATCATTGCACTTGACATCTCAATGATTTACAGTGAGGAGCAGGTGAGAACACACAAAACCAAAAAGGAACCCTTGATTTGAGTGGAATATTTCTAGCACACTAAGGTGACAAGTATATAGATTCTAGCAGTGATTTGAAAAAAAAAAAAAGGAAGAAAAGAAACTGTGCCACAAATTATTTGTTAGTAACAACAAAAGCTCAAATTAAATGGAAAAAAAGCTTCAACTACTGAGAATGTTTAATATTCTGCAATTATTTTTAGTTAACAAAATCAAAATATATTTTCAAGATTAAATACAATACCAATTTGGCAGATAGAAAAAAATATGACACTTCAGCATTTATAAAAGCGATTTCAAAGCTTTTAAATCTCAATAGAAAGAAAGCACATTATAACTGCAGTCATCCAGAAATAAAAGTTAAGAGTTTATGTCCACAGTGCTGTCAGACAGCTATTTCTGATGAAATATGACATTCAATACTGCCATTCTCCAAAAGTTACTAACTGGACAAGCAAACCTATCCACATAAAAACCTGTCTTTGAATTTTAAATGTATATATTAACCTCCAAATTCAAAATAAGTTACAGCAAATTAATATGCATCAGAAAAAAAATTCATTGTACAAGATCTGTCAAAATGAAATACCAACAAAACATCATTTTTCTAGGCTAGCTTTTTAAAATATGACATCTTAATTTTTTTAAAAGAATTTAGTCTTTGTGAAAAGCATCAAACTGATAGTCATGGGAACTAAAAACCTTCTATTTAGCTGAAAGAACAGGGGAAAGGGCAGTGCAGGGTTCAGTACAAGCTTCCCTACAGTGGGCCTTAATCCTCTTCAGAGCTCACACCCTGGGGGTGAAAGGACAGGTTAGTGGTTCTTTACCAATGAATCCTGTCTTCATTGCCTAAGATGATCAATGAGAAATCTAATTTTATCATGGGTTCTTAATTTAAGAGACCAAGACCACCAACTTATCCTATGTAAGCAAAACAACTTCCTGTGAGAATGATGTCAGTCGCTAACCTGGTTAAGAGCAGACAGCTTCAAGCATCTGGACTCCCATCCATCTCCCTTGGCAGAATTCACTTTGAGTGACTTTGTAAAAAAGCAGCAAAAACAAAATTTCTTCAACACTGTGGTGGTTATATTTTTCCCACTGGTGAACTAGTTCTCACATAGCAATTTAGCTTACAGTAAAAAATAAGAACAAATTCAGAAACATCATTTCAATTATTAAAATAGCCATTAAGTAGATTTAAATAGAGCAGTAAGTAGAAGAAGAGTAAGGAGAGACATTTTGGCATCTATTTTTATTGCCTTGGTTCTTCTGAAATTGTTGGTATATAAGCTAAACATGAAAATTACAACAAAGTAAAAAGATTTAAATGATTCACAAAATGGATAGATGATTAATCAACAATTAATCAACAATTAGATATGTTATCTCTCATAACTTCCAAAAAAGAATCTACAATAGTAAGGCTCATAGGAAATACATTTAAAAAAACCCAAACGGACCAGGGATTTAGCTCACTGGCACCATGTCTTTCTTGCAAGTGTAAGGTCCTGAGTTCAATCCCAATACTAAAAAAACCCTAATTACTTAGATTAGGATTTCCAAAAAATTCAAATTTCATTTATTATAAAGTATTTTTGTTACTTTTCCTGAAGATATAACTTTCTAAGGCATAAAAATTACTTCTGTAGACAAATTAAGTGCCATCAGATATAAATAATTCTTTCAGAGCAGCAAGGAACCACCCAAAAAATCCTGAATGTATTTTCTCCTACTTAGCTATCACTGATACTTAATAGCATATATTCATTACCAATGATTAATTTATTTACAATCAATTGCTGGAAATTCATTTTGGAAACTTCTGTAACCATTTATGAAAGTTCAGCAATTTAAACTTACAATTAAAATTTATTTGAATTTAATTTATTCATAACATTACAGAATGTCAAAGCAATACTTCTAATGTTTAATTTCTTATTTAAAACAAATCTGAAACTCCTAAATTTATAATGCATTAATTAAGCTTCAGGTAAAAGAATGCTTTGAATGTATTCATAATCTTAACTGTTAAGTGTTTTTCAAATCAGAATGGTACATACCTTTTGACATGTGTACAAATTGAAATTGTTCAAAGAAGTTAAACGATGTTTTTTAGTTACAAGTTTTTAGAAGAAAACCATATATAATTTAGAATAAATTATTTTTTAATTTAGGAGAAACTTCAAAAGAAATGACTTGATTCACTTGTTCTGGATTCATATTAAATCTTACATTACAGTGATGTTCAGCAAAGTAAATGGTATACAGCATCTCAAAATTAAGAGATAAACTGCATTCACCCACATACAAATGGATCCTCAAAAGAATTTTTAAGAAAATTCCATTCCTTTACATAGGAAAGTTTGCACCTGAACATTGTCAAAATATAGATACACTAACATACTCAGTGAAGTGTTATTAGAGCAATACTTTTAGTAATGTCTGTTGAAAAGCCCTATTATTAGATGAAGAGAAGCTGAACAACTGCTAACATTTTGTGTATCAAAATTATCCTCTTAAAGCTGGGTGTAGTGGTGCATTCCTATGATCCTACCACTTCGGAGGCTGACACAGGAGGATCACTAGAAGTTGAGGCTACTCAGGGCTACATAATGAGTTCAAGGCCAGCCTGAACTACACAGGGAGACCCTGTCTCAAAGAAACAAAATCCTCCTAAACTGAGTGTGGTGGTATGCATCTAATCAGGAGACTGATGCAGAAGTATCACAAGAGCCTAGGGGTTCAATGCCAAGGTAGCACCATAAGGAGAGCCCATCTCCAAACAACAACAACCTACAACTTAAAGGTGTATTGAGCCATGGGCTACAGGTGAAAACCTTAAAAAGTTTAAGATTACCAGAAATTTCATGAAGAGTTTAAAAACTAGGCAAGCTACTGGCTCTTAAAGTCTTTTAGTTTTGTTTGTTAGACTGTTTTGGTAGTACTGGGAATTGAATCCAGGACCTTGTCTTCCCTATTATAGAGCTACACATTGCCCTCACCTTTTTTTAATGAGATAAGAGTCTTGATAAGTTGAGCAGGCTGGTCTTAAACTTGGGATCCTCTTGCCTTGGCCTATAGCGTTTAGGGTTACAGACATGTGCCACCATATTCACTAAAGTTTCTAACATATCTTTAAAGTTTCATTGCCACCTCTGTACATTTAAGGCTCAAAATTTACGCTTTTATGAGTAGTCTCTTTACGATGAAAATTTAGTAACATGTTTTTATTTGAATTAAAAACAAACTGTCAGAGCCAAACGTGGTGGTGCACACCTGTAGTCCCAGCACTTAGGAAGCTGAGACAGGACTCCTACAAATTCAAGCTCAATTCAAATTCAAGAGTGAGTTCAAGGCCAGCCTGAGACCTTAGTTCAAGAAAAACAAAAACCAAATCAAAAAACAAACTGTCAGTTCTGTTCACATTAATATACCAATATTAATTTATATAAAAGCCAGTTTCCTATATTTCAAGGTCAATCCACTCTTTTAAATGAAATAGCAGTAAATGTATTCTTCCACTTATGAGAAGCCTTTTATATGAGATTATCTTTGTAAAATGAATGATGTAAGATTTCAAAAAGGTTAAACCTAGTTTTTTATCCCTGCATTTTACTATAGGGTATATAGTAAAAAAGGGGCAAAGAAACTACAAACCAAATACCTAGGGTTAGATAAAGAAAATCCAATTCTTTCAGTTGGCTTCTGTTCGTCCTATACTGCACTAACTCACTTTATGGCATTCTCAATCTAAGAGTAAATATGCACATTACAAAAAAGGATGTAGTGTTGGGGGGAAGTCTTTACCAAAAATCATATTCGCTTATTTGCTAGGTAGTGGGAATCTTTAATTTTTTTTTTTGAGACAGGATCTTGCTCCGTAATCCAGACTGGTCTGGGATTCACTATGTAGCCCAGGCTGGCCTTGAACTTACAATCCTCCTGCCTTAGCCTCCCAAGTACTGAGATTACAAGTGTGCCCCACCATGCCTGGCTTATTTGTTTTTATAAAAACAGAACAGAAGCAGAAGGAAATACATCAATTCTTAGTGGTTCATCTGTAACTTTGTATAAAATCCTATTAAAATGTACTTTTCTCCTCAATTTACTTTACCTACTTTACAGCCTCTTCCTTTACTGAGTTTAAAATTTCTTAAAGAAATGCAAATAAATTTAAATATGTCAGAAAAACATAATGATAAAGCTGATGAAAAACTAAAGAGAACATTGTAAAAACTGATATAATAATGCTTAGATACTGCTGCCATTTATCAATCAACTGGATAAACTTAGGTAATAAACTACCATGGGATCTGAATTTCCTAACCTGTAAAATTCATTTCCAAGCTCTCAAGTGTCCCCAGGCAGGGCCCAACTCTAAGTATAAAATTAAATTATGAGAATAAAACAATAGCTTGATTTTGTATCTCTACAAAATAGAATAAAACCAAAAGACCTGGAGCTGTAAGGCTAAAATACCTTCTACACGTGGCTTAGTTTTGCAAACTGGGAGATCTCAAACAAGTTACTGATATCTGAGCCTCAGTTTCCTCAACCTTAAATAGGAATAATATCAATGTCTACTCCTAGAATTTGAGGACGTACACAATACAAATAAACTAACTCAATCCCTGGTGTATAGTAAACTCATTATTAAATGTGGCCATGACATTTGTCACATGGGACTGTTGTAAAGATCAAATTAAGAAGGGGGGGATTTAGCTCAGTGGCACAACACCTGCTTAAGCACAAGGTCCTGAGTTCGATCCCGGTACTGGGAGGAAAAAAAAGATTAAATTAAAAAAGAGTAGGTATGCCTTGGTGATATCAAGTAGACATGTTGTCTTCATTTGCTTTTTTTTGGTACCAGGGATCTAACTCTGGACCTTTATGTCTGCAAGGCAGGTGCGGTGCCACTGAGCTAAATCCCTGGCCCTTCATTTGCTTCTTGAAGTGTATTATTCCATTGTAGATAACATTTTAAGTTGTGCAATTATCAAGAACTTAGTGATTTGTAGCAACTGATATTATAAATCAATGTTATATCTTAAATTATATTAAAGTATATGTAAGGTCAAAGACTTAAAACAATGTGACTTTAAAATGTAAAACCAAGATATTTTTAATTTATACACGATCCTATAATTTATTTTCTTCAGAGTTAACGGATAGAAATTTCTGTAAATTGTATTTTATATTGCTAAACATATCATCATACATTATACTAATATATAAGTTTATCCTACAACAAAGATCACATTTCTGTAATGAAAGCATGTAAAAGTCAAGAAAAAGAGGGTAATAAAGACTAAGATCATCAGAATATATGAAAGTCCTTGTCAATTTTTGTTACATTTACCAAGTCAAAGCAAATGGGTAACATTCTTTAAAAACAGCAATGACTTTCTACAACTCTAATCAGTAATAAGAGCGGTTTTAAGAATGTATTTCATTCATCTTCCCTTGCTCACCAGAAACATTTTAGGAGTCTCACTTCACTAAAATTTCAGTGAGATGGTTTAAAAATGTGTTTTGCTTTGTCTCATCTCAGACAGGTAACAGCCAAGGTTTAAAGAGCTAACTTGATATCATATTCCAAATCAGTAAGTTTAGCACCAAAGTGCAAGTCCTAGTCACCACAAGCTACAAGTTACATACCTGTTCATAAGTGAATGATTTCCTGAAAAAGGATTGAATGCAAATAAGAGACAAAAGGAATGGGCATACAATATTTACAATAAATCCATAGAAAGCAGTTTTAGAAAGCCACATACTATACTTCTGGTCATCATATGTAAGAGAGTAAAGTACTTTAGAAGAGGAGGGCAACAAGAAAACTAATAAGATTAAATTATTATATAAACAACTGAAAACTATTCTTACATTCAGAAACAATAAGGCCTAACAGCATGTTCATCTGTAACGTCACTAAAGCTAGGATATGATGTACATGTGCAAAATCTTAGACAACTGAAATAGTTACTTAGAATAGAAAACATACCAAAACAAAAGGATACTGTAACACAATACAAGGTAAAATTATGAAATATGTTTTCTTCAAAAAGTAAGCCAGGCTGAAAGCACACAAACGAAAGTGATGTCTGTTTACTTAGACATAAATTTTCTAAGCTGTAATATTACAAATCAGACACAGAAGAAGCGAAACAAACAAGAATGAACGTTTGCAAAGTAAATACCATAAAATCTGCTGAAGCATTTTATTCATTTTATGAGCCCCTCAGGCTCTTACCAAGAACATACTGAAAGACTGAGGATTCTTGTTTTATTGTCTTCTAAGCACTGATTACAATCTGAAATTATCTTGTATTCATTTTTGTGTTTTTGCCTATCTTTTAAGTCCACAACAGGAACCAACCACATAACCTCACCATCTAAAATAACACCAAGCTTACAGTGCTATTTACAGAATATAACAAGTCATTGAATTAATGAATAAATAAAATCCAAGCTGCTGCAGGTATAGCTCAGTGGTGGAGTCCTTGCCTAGAATACCCCAATCAGACTAGTCATAGACAAAGGGAGGGGAACGAGAGAGGAAAAAGAGAGAAAAATTATTGAAAGAAAATAACAATTTCAAAAATGTGAGAGGTGACATGACTAAAGCTTTTAAAGACAGTTAAAGGGATGATTAGTAAATATTATGAACTCTATGCCTACAATTGAACACCAGAGGTAAAGTAGATAAACTCTTTGAACAACATAAAGCTCAACCATGATAAAATAATGACTTAAAAGTCCCATTCAATTAAAGAAACTGAATCCAGTTTTAAACCTTTTTCAACAAAGAAAAATCCAGCCTAGATGGTTTCATTGGTGAATTCTTCAAAAAATCAAAGAAAAAAAAAAATACACATTCTACACAAATGGATCCAGAAAAATGAAAAAGAAAAAAATACTTCTCAGCTCACTTTATGAGCTTATCATTAACCAAATGCCAAAATCAAAGATATTACCAAGAAAACACTACCAAAAAATATCCCTCACGAACACACGTAAAACTTCTTAAAAA